AACAAAGTGAGCTCAAGGGGCGCCTGAACTGCATAGCAAGACCCTGTCTCAAGAGGACAAAAAGTACAATACAATACAATACAATGGGCAGGGGATGTAACAGTGCAAAGGCCCTACCTGGGTTCAAACCCCAGTATCAGCAAAAAAAAAAAAAAAAAAAAGTATACCTATGGAATTCCTGAACAAGGCCCTCCCCTTTCCTAAAATGTCACATCCACTCATATTGTCCTCCATGTGGAGCAGTTTCTGGGGTTCCTCTGGGATTCTGAGGAGTTCCAAGGGCATCCCTGACTCCTGTAAATCTTTGTAACAAGAGTAGATTAAGTGATGTGGCAGACAACATCCCCAGCGCTGCCATAATCATTAACATTTACTGTGAGCTTACTATATTCAAGGTAGCATTCAAAGCACTTTAGTGTCTCTTACATCATTCAACACCACAATTCTTCTTTATCCTCCCAGTACAGGGGATGGAACCCAAGGCCTTGTGCATGCTAGGCAAGTGGTCCACCACTAAGCCCCAACCCTAGCCTTTTTATTTTTCAAGCTTTTTTTTGGTACCAGGAATTGAACTCACAACCCCGTGCTTGCCAGGCAAGCACCGTACTGCTGAGACATTTCCCCAGCCCCAGCCTTTTTTTTTTTGAGACAAGGTCTTACTAGTTTGCCAGACTAGCTTTGAACTTGGGATCCCCTTGCCTCACCCTCTGGAAGTAGCCAGAATTACAGGTACGCATCATTGCTCCCAATTTAATCTCCACCATTCTATGAGGCATGTATTGTAACACCTGATCTTTCAAATACAGAAACTAAAGGTACAGAGTCAAACAGTAAATAGAGCAGGGCACCAAACAGTGGGTTAAGAAATGTTTCTGTAAGAGACCAAAACCATACAACTAAAGTATACGCTGTGGTGTTATAGCTTGATTCAGGAACTAAAACTGAAACACTTTCCAGGAATGAATTATATTTTTTTCACATAGTTGTCAAAATTAAAGTTTTTGCCTATGACACCTTACATTTATTGATTACTAAACAATAAAGTATATCTTTCATAATATAAAAAGAAAACCAAACAAAATTAGTTCTCAGTTTAGTTTTGTTTCCATTATTGAAGGAATAGAACCCAGGGCACCCACTGAGCTTCATCCCCAGCCTTTTTTTTTTTTTTTGTCTTTTAGAAATAGGGTCTCCCTATACAATGCAGATGGGCCTCAAATTTGCAGATCCTCCTGCTTCAGCCTCCAGTGCTGGGATCATAAATGTGTGTCACCACGCTCAGCCTTTTGTTTTGTTTTTTGTTGTTTTTGGTTTTCTGAGACCAGGTCTCACTATGTAGTTCAGGCTGTCCTTGAACTCACTATGCAGCCTAGGCTGGCCTTGAACTTGTGGAGATCCTCCTACCTCCACCTCCAGAGTACTGAGATTATAAGCATGTGGTACTACATCCAGCATCTGTGGTCTTTCAAAAAAAATTTTAATTGAGACAAGCTCTTGTCAAACTGCTTGGCCTGGCCTTGAATTTATAATCCTCCTGCCTCAGCATCCCTATGTCACAGGATTATAGGGATGCACTGTGCTGCCCAGCTTAAAATTGAAGTTTTCATTAACAGCAGTATAAGTTCAATATCTTATAAAATCTCACTTGGTTACACAGACAATTCATTTTTAAATAATGGAGTCTGAGTAAGATAAGACTTCTAGAAGATAATAAATAAAAAGCCCCCCTCACCCTAATACCTGAATAGCCATCCAACTGCTCTGCTATGGTTCTGAAGAGAATATGGAAGATTACAACCACAGCAGGTCCTGGCACAAGGAAAGACCATACACATGCCTATAGGTCTTCTGATCGAGTTGGCTTAGATCTGTGTATCCCTTGAAATGAGATCAGTGGGAGAGCCAAGAGTGAACGCTGTTAGGGTTAGGGAACAGGTACCCTGGGCCAGGTCATTCACATCCCCATTCACTGTCCACTACCACTTATTCTGCCTTTTATGGAGAAAAATCTCACCAAACCATCCTAATATCCCAGCAGGCACACAGCAACAATCCCACAATGTGAAGAAGTCAGTTTTGGTGATTATAACAATATATTCAAAAAATTAAGCAGCAGCCAGCCTGGAGGCGCAGGCCTGTAATCCCAGCACCCTGGGAGGATGAAACAGAAAGATCACAAGCTGGAGCCCAGGGCTGGGGATTTAGCTCAGCAGCACAGTGCCTGCCTGGCAAGCGCAAGGTCGTGAGTTCGATTCCCTGTACAGGGGGAAAAACAAACAAACAAGTTGAAGCCCAGCCTGGGCAACTCAGTGATTCAGCAAGACCTTGTCTCAAAATAAAAAATAAGAAAAAGGTTGGGGATATAGCTCAGTGCCAAGACCCTCGGTTCAATCCCCAGTACTGTGTTAACAAAATAGGATTTGGTTTACCCTACACTGGGAAGGAAGTGGAAGGCTTCCCTTATAGCCCCAAATAGCTGTAAAGAGGAATGCTGCCTGATTGAAAATCTCAGTTCTAATTTCAATTTTACTCCTGCATTAAGTCTCAACCGTTCTGTTAATAAGATGTTTACTATAATCAAGTAAGAGACCATCATTCATTCGAGTTCTTCACTCTCAAAAGAAATCTTGGAAGCACTGAGCAAGTGACAGAGAGAGACATCGTTAAGTAATATCCATGAAACTCAGAGTAGGACATGCGCTCCTGCTGCTGAGCTCTGTCCCTCTGACCACACTGTTCCACGGTGCCAACCATCAAGGGGATAAAGGTGTCATGGCCTCTTGTAAATGATTTTGGCAAATACAGTGAAGATCACCACATCTTTCCCAGTACTTACTATTGACTTTTTACCGCTGTTTTACAAGTAAAGAATGATTTTTCTTTTCCTAAGAAAATAACATTCCTTAAACACAAACAACCTTTAGAAAATCATGAAGGGAATCAAGAGAAATACATCTACATGATGAGGACTGTTAGTAACAATTAGTGAAAATTACACAAAGACCACATAATTACAAAGGAACTATCCAAAGGTAACAGATGTTTAGCTTCCAGCTTAGCAATTATCTACAAGATATATCAACAAGAAAAAGATGCAAAAAACCCCAAAAAAACAAAAAGAAAAAAATCTGAAGTACAGAAAAACTTAAGATATTCTATTGAGAGAAACAGTTCAGAAGTATAATTTCAGAAATTTTGTAAATAATAGCTAAGGATATGAAAGTGAAGAAACCATTTTTTTTTTCTCAGTAAGAAAACACTCTCAGGTTTTAAGGACGTTCAAGAACATCCATCACGGGGTCAGAGATATAGCTCAGCAGTACAGTGCCTGCCTGGCAAGTGCAAGGTCCTGAGTTCGATTCCCAGCACCAGGAAAAAAAAAAAAAAAAATCAATCACAATACTATTTACTACTACCACTACTGCTGCTGCTGCTGCTGCCTTACTTAAAATCTTTCCAATACAAAATAACAACAGCTTTTCCCCAGTAGACCAGCAGCCCCCCATCACATGGCCGGCAGTTTCAACCAGCAGCTTCTCCCTGAGCACCAACAGCCCATGGTATCACACACCCTGTGGGAAAGACAGCACTGCATCCCTGTCCTGCCCACTCCACTCTAAATGATGTATTTAAGAAAGGTGAGAAAAGAAAGGCTGCAGTTATAGCTCAGTGACTGAATATATGATTAGCATGCCCTAGGTTCAATCCCTAGTACCAAAAATAAATAAATAAATAAATGTTAAAACTACAATACACATATAAACCTAGAGAAGTATCTAATATTTAATTCATTTAACTTATCAACTTGGTTCATAAACTTACAGGAAATGTTATAAACTGGCATGGAATTAGTTCCTTTGGAGGCGTACTAAAGACTGAACCAAGGGTCCTCACACTGAGCTACATCCCCAGTTTTTTTTTTTTCCTTAAAAACAGGGTCTTGTGCCCAGTGTGGTAGCACATGCCTATGATCCCAGCATTCAGGAGGCTGAAACAGGAAGATTGCTGCAAGTTCGAGGCCAGCAAGGCCAGCCTGAACAACATAACAAGACCCTGTTTCAAAAAAAAAAAAAACAAAAAAAACCAGGGTCTCACTTCATAGTTCAAACTGGCCTTGAACTCATAGATATCCTCTTGCTTCAGTCTCCTAGAGTGCTAGGATTATAGACATGCAATACAACATCCAGCCATCCCCAATCTTTCAGAGTTACTAAATTGTCCAGGCTGGTTGTGAACTTTTGATCCTTCTGCTTTAGCCTCCTGCTGGGATTATAGGTATGTGCCACAAGTGGCTTTAAAGTGGTCCTTTATTTTCTAAGGTGTTAAATTCTCAACTAACTCCATACATTACCACTTCAGGCTACCTAAGACTTTCATTATTATCATCAGGCCACACAATGAATTCTCCCACACTTACTCTGGAGTCTACTCCATACGGTTTTATTACTTTTGCTCCAAACTACCCAAGAAAAAATTTCGTCCCTGAAAGCTTCACCCTGATACACCAAATTCAAATAACCTCAAGTCACTGATTCTGTGACTACTCAATAGATCTACCTGAAACACTCCACTGGTATTAAGAATAGAAACCTCCCCCTAAACTTAGCTCCACTGTTCCAAATACAGGGAAACAGTTCCATTCGCTACGATTTAAGGACTACATTGGCAATTAGGAGTCCTTGCGTCCCTAGAGCAGAACAAATTTCTCCCTTGGACACAATGCACCCCTACCCACAGACCATCCCTACTGTGGTCTGGTTTCACTTGGGCATTTCACATTTCATTCCTGCTGAGGACTAGTGGAAATGGAAGGTGACAAGGGTACAGTATCAACTTCTTACACTGACACTTCTTGGGTACCCTGAAGAAATAATCCAAAAAGACTGCTCTTTCTCCCACAGTACACACCAGTATTATGATTGCTATTACTTGAAAATTTCTGTTACACTGTCCAAAAAAGCCCCTCTCCCCTAAAACCAAAGAACCCAAAATTGTCTTACCCTCTCTCTCTCTTCCTCCTGTCGTCTTATTCCTTCTCCTTTCCAGGGCTCCTGAACTTTCTGTAAATAAATTGTCTAGGTTACAGGAGCCAGTGAGAGTGCAGCTGGTCCTTTCCACAGCCACCACAGAACTGTAGAAAGCTCAGGAATTCCTTGACAGTCAGCAGTCAGTCTGGAAGGCAGGCTGACTCCCAACCAACAATTCAAAGATGCAAGGATAGCGTACTGGGAGTTCTGTGCCACCCCTATGTGGACTCAAGGGAAATAAATGCAATTTCCAGAAACTGAGATGAACTATCACCAGCGTTTGGGTTCTCCTAGGCTCAGACACTGACTCGTCTCTCCTTCCTGGCCACAGGTACATGGGTCAGAGAGCACCTGAAGTTCGAGGGGAGCACAGTCCCTGCCCCTGAGAAGTGGCCTCAGAAGGCAAAGCTGAAAGCTGGGGAGATGCACCAGTCCTTGTGTCAGGCACACTGCCAAGTTCAGGCCCAACTACTTCCTCTAGGCTCCCCCTACTTCTGCGAGGACTTCGCCCCCTGCCTACCAAGGCCCGGTGCCAACCACTACCTCCCTAGCTAGTACAGTGGTCTACCTACTGGAGACCCCAGCTGTTCCCCCCAAACCTTCGATCCCCTGAGACAGCCCAGGGCAGCTTTCTCCTGATGTCACCCCCCACTCTTTCCTCCAAGACCCTTCCTTGGGACGTCCCTCCTAACCCCTCCAGGGAGCTGAACTCTGCCACCCACCAGACAGGCACCCGCCCCCTAAGCCCCCCCATTCCTCCCCATCGCCCGCTCCTCCACAGCCACTTCCGGTTCCGGGACGGACACTCACAGTCACACCGTGGACCCCCTCCCCCCAGGAAAAGGGGAGGGAGAGGAGCGGGGCGCTCGGCGTGCGCCAGCTGCAGCGGCGCGAGACTCACCCGGCGGCAACTGCTGCGGTGGCGCCAGAGCCTGAGCCGGAGCGCGGGAGGGGCTGCATGCGCTGGGGAAGGAGGGAGCCGAGTGGGGCGGGAGGGCTAGGAGGGAGAGAGCGCGCGGCGGGGCGCGCGGGCACGCACTCAGGCGCGAGACAGACCTACACACATAGACGCGAGGAGCGCGCGAGAGACACCCGCAGGGCGGGGGCGCGAGGCAGTGGGTGGTCCCCCGCCCTCCCGAACACTCACCCGGAAGTGCTGGAGCTGGAGCTCCCGGGAACCCCAATTGCTCCACGCCCCCCTCCCTCTCCCCCCCCCCACAGGCTCGGGAGAGAGTCGCTGTGGCGAGAAGGCGGGAGCGCCGGAAACGAAAAAGGGGGAGGGAGGGAAATAGCAACGGGGGGGAGCCACTGAGAAAAGGGGGGGAGTGCAAAGGCCGAGTCACTTCCGGGAGCGGCCAGGACACTTCCGGCGCTGTTAGCACCCCGGGATATTCGGGCGGAAGTCACGACACATAGGGGCGGAAATGGCTTCTACTTAAGAAGTGGGGTAGGGGGGGAATCCTTCGGTGAATGTGATGTCATAGCGGAAGTGAAGGCGGGTTGGGTTAAAGGCGGAAGCTGAGCCTTCAGAACTGCGATCCTGGCTTCCGGAAAGGGACTGCTGGGGAAGTGGGAGGGTGGGAACGCTACAGGTTTATGAATTATGCATCAAAGTACAAGAGAGGTATGGATTCTTAAGAGATATGGGTCTCGCTTCGTTTCCCGCTAGGCTGGAGTAGGCCGATGTAGGAAGTTACCGTTTTTGCTTTTCCTCTACCTCAATAATTTCTCAATGCTTCGAATACGCCACAGAGGATAAAGGTAGTGTGAGTACTGTAGTTGCCTGAGGTCCCTACTTCGGCTGAGTGCCTTCAAAAGCCGACTCCTTTTCTTCGACAACACCCCCTTTGGCCTTGTTGCCTTCACCTACCTCGTTGTCCCATACCTCGCTTTACTTTTGTGGGGGCTGGTAATTGGGGATTGAACCCACGGCCTTAGCGCTGAGCTACATCCCTAGCCCTTTCCTTATTTTTTGAGACAGGGTCTAAGTCGCTAGATTTCCCAGGCTGGGTTGGAACTTAATCAGTCCTCCTGCCTCAGGTTCCAGAGTGCTGAGAGTCCACGCATGTGCTACCGCACCCAGCTAGACTGCCATTTATTAAGTGGCCTGTTTCAGAGATGAATTACAATTCATTGTGGACACTTAACCTTCCCTGATGACTACAGCCCAGTTTCTTTGAATATCCACAGCATTTAGTCTATACCTTTTAATACTATTTTAGTTAGTTCATGTATGTGATTCCCCAGCAAGATTGTCAGCACCTCAGAGAAGAAACTCCTCAGATGTGAGGGCAGCCTGGCTGCACCATCTGTCACCTCTTTGGTCACCAGGGTTGATTTGGATAATCTGGCTGGCTAGGCTGGTGTCCCCTTCCTCCCTCAACGCTCCATGTGTGTCCCTCCCCAAAGTTTCTGGCTTAAAGAGGATGACCATCGCCAATAGGAGAGGACTGTTCCTCCCTCAGCGGTGTACAAGTAGCTGGGCTGCCCTTCTGGAACCTCCAGACAAACTCTCAAAGAAGAAACTCTTCACATTGCATTGCTGAGTGCATAGTAAGTGCTGAATAAATACTGTTTCAGTGAATGAATTCTGCCGCAAGCCTGTACCTGATGTGGCCAGAATCCTTCTGGGCTCTTTTGGATGAAGCAGAACTGAGGTGCTTCCCATTAACAGGAATAGCTCTTGACTGAGAAAGCAAGATTACCTTAACAAATACCATGAGTCCCCAATTTGAACATTTGAGTTGCACATGAACTGGACCCTGCATGTAAACATTTGCAGATGGAACAAATCGTGGAAGTAGCTCAGGTGTCTGCCAGACATTGTCGCAGTTGTGCTGCTGTGTGCTTATGTATCGCTTGATAGTGTACAGCAGTACAGTGCTCAGTCAGAGCCCAGGATGTCTGGAAGAGGAAAAGCAGTGGTGCTGTGGAGGAGACTGCAAGGAAGCACAAAGCAATAACCATGCAAACAAAAGTAGAAATAATTGAGAGACTGAACCAGGCGAAAAGATGGTAGATGTCACTTTTTTTTTTTTGGTCTTTATGAGACAGGGTCTCACTATGCAGCTGAGGCTGGTCTTGTGCTCACTTTGAAGCGCAAGCTCGTCTCCAACTCACAACAATCCTCCTGCCTCAGCCTCCCGAGTGCTGGGATTACAGGTGTGCGCCATCACGCCCAGCTCATCACTTGTTCTTAAAACGTGAATCGTTCAACCATTGGCACAATTCTAAAGAATAAGGACAAGATCGTGGAACATGTGAAGCCCACTGTGCCAACAAAACCAGTAATATCCAAACATCAAGGTACAGTGACAGAACATGCATGGAGAAACTTCTCCAGTTTTTTTTTTGTTTGTTTGTTTGTTTGTTTGTTTGTTTTCCAGTACCAGGAATCAAATTCACAACCTCGTGTTTGCCAGGCAAATGCTGAGAAACTTCTCAGTGTGTGGATGCAGGGTCAATGTCAGCATCAAGTCCCACTCAGCTTAATGATTATTCAAGAAAAAGCGAAAAGCCTGTTTGAAGACTTGAACAAAAACCAAAGTGAACAGGGTGCATCTTTTCCTGCCAGCCATGGGTGGTCTAATAGATTCAAGGCTAGAGCCAACCTTCAGAACGGAAAAGTAAGTGGTGAGGCTTCAAGTGCAGAGACCATAGCTGCCCAAGAATTTCCAGCAACACTTGATAATGATGAGCGAGCCACTACTCAACTATCAATTGGATCATTTTTTCAAGGGGGCAGACAGAATTGAATCTATCAAAAAACCTGTGTCACCAACATCAGGTGGGACCAAATTCCATCTTACCCTCCATGTCCTATTGCTGGTGATCCTTCAGCTCGACCATCTCTCACCTACCCTCCCTCCTCCAGCCGGTAACTCTTCTTGTCCATTCACTCTGTGTGATCCCCTTTATGCCACTATAGTGAACCACCATTTTAAGGTAACTGCAAAAGTAGTTTATTTACAGTTGTACTGTACTGCCATTTTAAGGTAACTGTAAAAGTAAAAAGTTTATTTATTGTATTTTTGTGTGTGTTTGGGTTTTTTATGCAGTGTTCTCCCGGAACAGAACTTGTTGGTAAGTCAAGGATATACTGTAATGATAATGCCTTTTTTGGGGGTGATACTATGAGTTGGACTTAGGGCTTTCACTCTTAAGCTTTTTTTTTTTTTTTTTTGGCATAGGGTTTCTGTAAGTGACACAGGCTGGCCTCAAACTTGGTTTTGAGACAGAGTCTTGCTTTGTAGTTCAGGCCGGCCTTAAACTATGAACTGTCACTCAGGTGATCCTCCTGCTTCAGCCTCCCGAATCTGCACTTACAGGCTTGGGCCGTCAAACCTGACTAGTTCGTATCCTTTTAAAGTGTCAGCTGGGCATAATGGTGGATGCCTATAATCCTAGCATATAGGAGGCTGAGGCAGAAGGACAGCTGCAAGTTCAAGGCCAGCCTGGGCTACAGAGCAAGCAAGACCCTGTCTCAAAAAAATAAAATGTCTGTTTCTCCACTCACAATATGGGGCTCAGTACTCTGTGTGTAACTAACTAGCAACAATTGGCAGGATAAAGAACTTAAAGGTTCAGATGTGGCACACCTAGACTGAGGCAGGAAGATCACCTGAGTTTAAGGTCAGTTTGAACTACATAATGAGAAACTATCTCAAAAAAAAGTTCAGACATGACCTCCTATCTGGTTATTGATGACTGATTTGAGAAACAGAAACCTTAACTCTGGGCAAGAAGATGGAAAAGTGGAAACGAGGATGGTGGCACACACCTGTAATCCCGGCACTTGGAAATGTGGAAGCAAAACAGTCATCACTGAACTCTGGTTCTTCTATGTTCACTAACTGTCCACTTCCTGAGCCTTTAGTGCCTCTGTTTCTGCCCTTGCATTAAGAGCAAGTTTATGGTACATGCCTGTAATGTGAGGAAGACTGAGGCAGAAGGAATGAAAATTCAAACCCAGGCTTTAGGCAATCTTGTCTCAAAAAGTAAAGGGAAGCTGGGCGTGGTGGCGCATGCCTGTGATCCCGGCACTCAGGAGGCTGAGGCAGAAGAATTGTGAGTTCAAGGCCAGCCTGGGCTACAAAGTGAGTTCAAGTCCAGCCTGAACTGACTGCACAGTGACATCCTGTCTCAAAAAGACAAAAAATAAATACATAAAGGAAGGCTGAGATTGTAGCTCAGTACAAAGGCCTGGACTTAATCTCTAGTACCACCCAAAAAAGAAGAAAAAAGCAAGTTGTAAGTGCTTTGAACTCTTTGGGCAAAGCTACAATTGAGAGCAATACATGTGGGGCACAGGGGGAGGAGGACGGTTAATTTTAGCCTAGGGCTCTCCAGCTGGCACACTTTCCAGCTTGAATCACTTCCACACCCCCAGCTTTGCCGGGGCGATCCCTCCTCCCCGGGGGCTTCCCCATTCCCTGGTTTGATGTGCACCACAGTGGCAAGCCTTCCGAAAGATACTTTGGAAGCCTGGCTGAGTCACTTGATGCACTGCCCAGGAGGCAGAGAAAGCATGGGGCTAAAGCTGCTGCCGTGGTACCGTGAAGCACGGCCTCCAAAACCATTCCATTTTGAGCATCTCTTGCTACCACTGTTTGGCTCCTGGCTGGGGACTGTGCTCTTACTTGTAGCTGAGGACAAGGCCCCATGGTTTATTTCAACTCCAGGAGAAAGAAAAATTAGGTTCTGTCAAAATGTAGAATAGCCAGGCATGGTCATGCACGCCTGTAATCCCAGTACTCAAATGAGGCTGAAGCAGGATTTGAGGCCAGCCTAGGCTACATAAACAAGTCAACTCCAGTCTATATAGCAAGACCCCGTCTCAACCAAAAAAAAAAATTTTTTTAAGCTAAAAAATAACATGTGTACCAATAAAATTTTTTAAAAGCGAAAAAAAAAAAGGTTCTGTTCCCCAGGGCCTCTAATTTATCATTAGTATAACAGTGTGGCTCTATGATAATTCCTCTAGGACAGTGGTGGCTACCGAACCTTTGATTGACACCCATGCCACAGGGGGTGTTTTTGTCACTGAAAGCTCTATAAGATTCACCATCACTGCTCTAGGACCCAGAAATCCTGGACTCTTCTTTCTCCTCTGTGTTTCCAACCATCTGACTTTCCACAGGAATTAGGGACACTTGGGGAGAGGGAAGGATTTCCAGTGTCTTGTTGTATTTTAATTTATTTAAATTTAGAGAAACAGCGGCTAATCAGGCAGTAATTAATTCCCTCTTCATTAGGGGCCTTCATGTGTGCCTTGTACATATGGATGAGCCGCAGGGTCACACTGTCCCTCTGAAGAGACCTTGATGAAGATGAGCTCAAGTGAGCTCCCCAGCACTTGAGCTGCTCCCCATTCTGTCCTGTGCTGCCTTCCTCCCACCAGCGCTCCACAAGAGGGACTGACTAGATCTCTGTGGGGAAGCAGGAAAGGTTAAGAGGCTTCCTTTCCCACCCTCCCGTCCCTAACACAGCCCATCAGCACCTGTTCTCCTTCTCTCTCCAGCTGCCTGCTGGGATCTCTCTGGGCCAGAAATTGATGCAGCCCTCCTCAGAAGGCTGGATTGCCTGGCCCCTCTGCTTCTAGTTGGCTCATCATCCCTTGACCCTACTTGTTTTTTTCCTCTGTAGCAGTCTGTCCTCTGAGGAAGTCTGATGCCTCACACACTGGTCCAGTCACGAAAAGCAGAGTGCTTTCTCCCCGCATGCACCACCATTCTGCAGGCACGAGCTGCAGCACACATTGAGACCCTGCTACCTAAAGCACACACCCACACAGACCCAGTCCCCATTCTAGGATCACAGACAGATACATGGAGGGAGGTACAGTCTCAGCTGCCACACTGCCCTCCTGCATACCACACTCTTCTCCCTGGGGCAACCCTGTTTCCAGGGAGCAGGTGGGGTACCGGTGACGGGGGGAGTGGGACCTGGCTGGTTACCATAGCAACAGAGTCTAGCAACAGCTGAAAAGCTGATGTGTGGGCTTTCCTAGAGCTGTTCTAAGAGCCAAGCCTAGAATGGGGCCTCAGAGGTGACTGATCCCAGCTGGGCAGCCTGCCTTCCCTCCCCGAGACACCCAGTTCCACCCCGAAACCCTGGGAGACCCTCTGCCTCAGAGGGGGCAGAGGGGGCTAAGTGAGCTGCACTAATGCGCTAATCACCACAGGGCTTCTAATGCCACATGGCCTGAGGGGCAGCTGCGGGGCTGGGGTGGGGGGAGCAGGTTAGGAAGCAAAGCTGAAAATAAACCAAGAAGGGCAGGCATCTTCCCCTGGCTCATTCTTGTCTGTTTTCCTTTGCTCCATTTTTCTCTTCCCTTACCCTTCACCCTTTTCTGGCTGGCTACCCGGCCTGTCTTCCTATGTAGTTACCCCTTTCATCCACCTCCTTTCTCTTGGTCTCTTTTTTTTTTTTGGTACTGGGAATCGTACTCATGACCTCAGGCTTGCCAGGCAAGCGCCTATGCCGCTGAGCTACATCCCCGGCCCTCTTTTGGTCTCTCTAGACCTTCACGTGTGAGGACCAAGCCAGCCCACTTCTGATTCCAGTTTCCGTCTTACATGGCTGCTCACCAGGGCTGCATCCTTTGTGTCCTCTTTCCTTCTCCCCTCTTCCCTCTGTCCCCAGTTAAAACCCAGACTGGTCCCCAGCTCCAGGGCAGGGCAGGGCACAGAGGGTCTGCTGGAGCTGCTCACCCCACCCTTCCGCTCCTGCCTGCCCACCCTTTCTCTCCACAGGGCTCACAAGGCAGAACTAGGGACTCAAGTATCTTGCAAAGGCTTTATTTGAAAATTTTGAAACTTACATCCCACAAGAATTCAAGATTATCACCACAAGAAGAAGAAAGAGATAATACAAAAATATATATCACAGCATAGGAGCCAGGTAAAAGGGGAGGAAGGAAAGTAGAGACACTGGTGAGGAGGAGGGCAGGAAGGGGAGCAGGAGGGAGCCCGGGGAGGAGGGCTGCCCTCGGAGGCGGGGGTCCCGGTGGCCTTGAACCAGTTGCTCCAGTCCCTGCAGCCTGGCGGAGGGAGGGAGGCCCAGGGAGGCTGGGGACTGGAGGACCCACTCAGGGGCTCTCACGTCCAGACAGTGACACAGACACAGACAGCCAGGATAGACAAGACAAGAGGGGCTTGGAGGGAGCGAAGGATGAACGGGAGTCCCTTTCTTATGTAGTGCAGCAGGCGACTCCCAACACCCGCCTCAGACAATAGAACTTAGCAGTGGCCCTCATTACCCCATCCCAGTGGGGGAGCCCTAGGGTGATGCCAGCACGCTTGGAGTGGGATGGGATGTGGGGACAGTGAAGTCATGACATAGGACAGGATGGGGCATGACAGATGAGGGCACCACGCACAGCCCCCAGCTCCCCTCCCAGCCACCTCAAGGGCGCATGCAGGGGCCACAGAAACTAGACCAGTGATTGTCCATGAGGCAGAGCAAGTGGGCTGCGCCACGACTTCCTGCTGGAAATGCACGGCGAGGGGCACATGGATGGGAACCCTGCCACAGGGTGACCAGGCTGAGCATGACTTGTGTGGAAGACAGAGGGAGAATGGGAGACGGGTGTGGGCGTCAGTGAGCAGGAGGTGTGCAGGGGAAGCGGTGCAGAAGAGTGGCTGCGAGAGCATGAGCATGTGCCATGGCCTGGGAGGGTGGAGGTGAATGTGCAAGGCTTTCATGTGAGTGTGCAAGGGTTGGGGGACCCGCAGTCACAAGTACGTGAACCCCCCACTAAGGAGGGTGAGCAGAGGGGCTTGCCCATGTGGCCAGTGAGTGTTCCGGGTGGTGTGCAAGGGCAGGAGCCGGAGCCCCAAGGCCCCAGCTCCCCTCAGCTGCCCCACCCTCAGTGGGATGGCGCCTATGCCGGCCCCTTGGCCTCCTGCTTGGCAGCACCCCAACATGGGGGGGCATCACAGATTCACCAGGGGAATCCTGAGAGGAAGAGGGAAAGGGCACAGTCAGGACCCAAGGGGTAGCCACACGGAGGGGAATCCGCAGCAGA